TACATACATAAATGAAAATTATAGTTTAAACAAGGAATAACTTTGTAAAAATCCAAGGGGGGGGGTACACCCCCTCCTAATTTCACTCGGGGGGGGGGTAATGGACTTCCAACCCCTCCCCTTAAACCGCCCTTGGAAGGTTGCAATGCACGTTTATTTATATTTAATTATATTTATATTGTACAATTAGCATGTGCGCTGCACTGTACAGAAAAAAACCGTACCGACTAATACAATCAGTTCAGTTTATGTTCAATTCAAATTCAAATACAAATGTACATATCCAATTTATGACTTTCATATACAAATATTACATAAATTGGATAAATTCAATTATTTAATTAAGTATGTCATTTATCTAAAACTAATTTTAAAAATGACTAAACCTAGAAAAGTTAGAACCGGGGCAGTAGCCTGACTTCCTCCAATAAGTCTAGCCCTGAATACATTAATTTATCCTGTTGTTTAATCATCATATATAAAGCTGTAATCTCTGTTTGTCTGTCTGTCTGTTTGTCCGATCATTACTCAGAAACCCCTGGACCGATTTGCCTCAAATTTTGATTGAGGAACTCTGGAGACCCATGGGAATGTTCTTAGCTTATTTTTGAGAATCTAAATTGAGAAACTTGACTTTAATTGCGAAAATTTAGTTTCTCGGTAAAATGTTTTAAGTGCGGGTAAACGGCGGGAGTAACTTATACAGAGCGTCCCATATCATATTAGATTGCCTCCAATCTTTAACACCAAAATAAACCCTTAATACTCGAAAAACTTATCATTTTTCGCAAGAAAATTCTTATATAAGCCTTACGTTATTTTTCAAAATGATTCATTCTAATGAAATTTTCTAATTATAGTCCCGAAAATCGTAATTTAGACACTTTCTCGGTCTAATATGATATGGGACACCCTGTAGTAACCTTGGCAGGATTGGGTTCCCAAGCTAGTATATAATAATTTACTGAGTTTTCAAACTAAGCTTAATTAACTATCGTAATTTTATCTAAACCTTAAGTTAAAAAAGAGCATGCTGGATTCACAATGGTATCTTTTAAACCTTTATCTGATCAACCATGTGTCGCTTTATATTTGTTAAATTCTGAGAATTTTCTCTATTGTTTCTGAAACAGAATTTCGCAACTTATTTTTATAGAGAATTAACAAGTGAATTTAATCAATTTTCCTGGATAAAAAATGAAATATTTCAGTAATTTTTGATCATACAAAACTTTTAAAGATACTGTTGTGAATCGGACATGCCAATAAAGAGTAATTTAAATTAAGTTAACAGTCCCTTTAAAATGTAATTTCACGATTATTATTAACTCTGGCATAAATTAATCCCTGATAAGTCCAACTCTCTCATTAGTCCTGATCACTCGAACCTTGCCGAGTGGAATAATGTTGTCCACCAGCTCGTCCTTGAGATGCTCCATATCCGACCCATCATCAATCAATAAGATCTCTTTTATTAGCTCAGGTGGAGACCTAGAGAAGGTTCAGGTTTCTTCAAATATATCAAGTCAAGGGTTTACTAAAAGTTTAAGATTTAATTACTAAAGGTTTACTAGGCGTTTAAACCTGAACAGGATTTAAAGTTTACTTTAGGTTTCCTCAAAATTTAAAGTTTACTTAAGTTTTACTATGGTCTAAAGTTTACTAATAATATAAAGTTTACTCAAGGTTTACTAATGGTTTGAAGCTAACTGAGGGTTTATTAAAGATTTAAAGTTTACTCAAGGTTTACTAATGGTTTGAAATTAACTGAAGGTTTATTAAAGGTTTAAAGTTTACTCAAGGTTCACTTAACGTTTATAACGTTTACAATTTACTAAAGGTTTCCTAAACATTTAAGGTTTTCTCCAGGTTTACTAAACGTTTAAAGTTTACTTAAGGTTTACTAATGGTCTAAAGTTTACTCATGGTTTAAAGTTTACTTAAGGTTTACTAATGGTCTAAAGTTTACTCATGGTTTAAAGTTTACTTAAGGTTTACTAATGAACTAAAGTTTTCTCATGGTTTAAAGTTTACTTAAGGTTTACTAATTGTTTGAAGTTAACTGAGGGTTTATTAAAGATTTAAAGTTTTCTCAAGGTTTACTAATGGTTTGAAGTTAACTGAGGGTTTATTAAAGATTTAAAGTTTACTCAAGGTTCACTTAACGTCTACGTTTACTCAAGGTTTAAGTTATTGAAATAATTTCAATCTTAAAGGACAGTGTTCTAGGTTTTTTTTTTTCGTGGAAAGGATTAAATCAATTTCTTTAGCAAAACCTAGCTGGGATATATAAAATTAAACTTATTTCTTTAAAATTTAAAAGTAAATATGGAGCTGGTTAAAGCATTGGAGACGCTTACTCTGAAAAAAGTTTCTACATCAAGTTGATAAAGAATAATAATTGTAGAGACAAGGTTTACTCATGGTGTACTCTAGTTTGAGTGCTGAAACCGATTACTCTGGTTTCAGCAGAAGTTTGACTCTGAGTACCTGTCTAGGATAGAGTGAACTGATCTGAGTAGGACGGAAAGAGCTTCGTTATGGAATGTTAGTATCACTAAATCAGTCTTATCAGTTTAATCATAACATAGAACTATACTATACATGAACTAAATATGAAATACAAATGAATTGAATATGAATTGAATATGAATTGAATATGAATTGAGTATGAATTGAATATGAATTGAATATGAATTGAATATTAATTGAATATGAATTGAATATAAATTGAATATGAATTGAATATGAATAAAATATTAATTAAGTATGAATTAAATATTGATTGAATATGAATTGAATATGAATTGAATGAATATGATTAAAATATGAATTGAATATAAATGAATATGAAAAGAATAAGCTGTAATTCCTGAGGTTTGAGGAAGATTTTTTAAATGTCTGTCTGGTGCTTTACACCAATCATCTCTGAAAAACATAAAAATATTTTTATCGACATAAACGTTCTTTACATTTCATGCTTTATAATTATTATCAATAAATTTACTTCCCTCCCCCCAGAAAACTGTTCACTTAATATTACTTATTTATATCGCTTTCTTAAGAAGTTGTTATATTTGCTATAGTTTTTATTCCAATTTTAAACCTGTCTAAGATGCAAATATTTTAACAGTTACTTTAAGTCCTTTTCTCTTCTTTATTTGATGAGAACAAACCTGAGATCAGGAAGGGATCTGTGTAAAGATATCATATCACTAATATACTGATTAAATGCATTCTTTTTATATCCATCCTCTAAACTAGGAGATATTAAAACCAGATTAGGAAGGATTTGGGAGATAACAGAAGGATTAGGAAACTTGGGAGATAACAGAAGGATTAGGAAACTTGAAATTACTAGAAGATTAGATTAGATAATATTAGATTATAGTTTAGATTCGAGAAAGAGTAGATTTATGATCATGGAAGAAAGTTCTGGTTGGAAAAAATATCTCTGTTTCCTATTTTCAGTTTGGTTTCTGGATCTGGATCCTTGATCTCAACTGCTTCCCCCATTTCTCCTGGTCCTACAGGGTTCTGTGGGGGAAGGATCACTTTCAGAGGTTCAGGTTCCTTCTTTTCATCATCAGGGTTCTCTGCATCCTCCTTAGCATTATCTTCATTCTACACCAAAGAATTTACGGAATTATTCAGGAAAAAAAAAATTGTTAGAGTATCATTTGTCATCAAAAATTAAATATTTAGGATTTCTGGGTTTCCTGGTTTTCCTGGTTTCCCTGGTTCTCCTGGTTTCTCTTGTTCTTCAGGTTTCTCTCGTTCTCCTGGTTCTCTTGGTTTCCCTGGTTTCCCTGTTTCTCCTGTTTCTCTTGGTTTTCCTTGTTCTCCTGGTTTCCCTCCAGGTTCTCTTCTTCCTTCCTTGCTAGGTTTGGTTCCTTCAGCTCTTGTTGCAAATCCAAGTTATCCTTCTTCGTTGTCGTCGTTTTATCCCAAAACTTTCAGGAAAATATTTTTTGTGAAAAGAAAATATTTTCTATTTTTTTTCATCTCATTATTTTAGAATATTTTTTTTTTATGTTTTGACTCGCCCAATATAGGGAACATTTAAAGTTTTTTTCGATATTTTTAAGAATCTTTTAAAAGTGCAGACCCTTGATGTTTGAAAAATAAGTTCTGATTCCTGTGAAAGTTGAGAAGTGTCTGAACTCCTGAAAGCTACGAAATAAAGGATAGAGAAGATGAAGATCAACTTGAAGACCTGAGTTCTCCGTCTCCTTGGCATCATCTTGTCAGGAGTCCAAGCTTCTGAAACCAAATACCTCAATTTAAAAGGAATAAAAGAACTGCTGTTGGAATTCCAAGTGACCCTCCATTACCGAAAATTTTCTTAGATTAAAAATGGTTAGATTCTGTTAATTTTTTCATTGTTTCTAAAGCAATAAATGCGCAAATCACTTTTTTTGGAGACACCACAAATGAAAATTATCAGTTTTCAAATACAAAAAATTGGATATCAAAGGAGTCTTTGCAACAAACCCTGATTTTTTAATCAAAATATCTTTGGAACCAAATGTTGTAGACCTTAGATATTTCAAACTATGAATTCTGTTAAATCAAATAATCTGAGTTTGAAATATCAAAGGTTTACAACAACGGGATCTAAAGATATTGGGTTTTAAATATTTGATTTTGTTACAAAGACTCAATTCCTTTATATTTGATCAGACAAAGGGTTTTTAGGCTAACGCAGTGAATTTAATTTAAGATTTGAAAATTCCAAACAAATAGATGAAATTTATAACATTTATAGTTTATAAACTTGTGAAGCAACTTTTCCTATTCAAGAGGCAGAATTGAAAGAATTTGAGCCGCGACTTAAATTTGAGACGCGGCTCAAATATGGTTGGTTCCACTTAAAATTTATTCAATGTTTCAAGATTTAAGCCGACGCTCAATTGAAACCGGTTTTTGACGGATTTGAGACGTGGCTCAAATTCATTAAATTCGGACTAAGGTTACTTTGTTTAAATATCAATAAATAAAATCGGTTTAAATTCTCGGACAAAATGTTTCAATATTTTCTAAATTTTAAACATTCACAAAAATCAGCTAAATTTATTTTGTACAGTCTAGTAAGATTACTCCGAAAGAAAAAAAATGTTGAAGATTAAAGTTACAATAAAAAAATCAATCTACAGTACTTTTAAAACTTAAATCAATATAACTTTTAGTTCACTATATTAATGTATTAACTTTTTTACTCACTATTTCGTGTTGACTGGAAATAAAGGTAAAAATATTGTACTTCACCGTTTATATCTATACTGTATATTGTGTTCCTCATTTAAATATAAATTTTTATTGTTTTCCATTTCTTTTCATGCCTTTGTTTAAAAAACGTTTTCGAACAATATCTTGTGAGATACTATTCATAAATTCTTCCAATATCTGTATCTTTCTACACCTGGAGCCGGGTACACCTGGGTTCAGACCATCTCTCCAGGTACAAAACTCATTAGGACTCAGGACTCCATACACCTGTTAGAACTGGGAGAACAACAAAATGTATTAAATCTAAATTGAAATAAGTATATGTAGAGTGTCCGGTATCAAGTAACAGACTGTAGACTTATAATTTTATTATATTAATAAACTACAAGGGTATTGAGAAAGTAGCTTGACATATTAATTTTTAAATCCTTATATCTTTGCAGCCTGAGGGTGTGACATTTAAAGTTTTGGCTATAAATCTAGAAGGATTGACGCAAGGTCTACGATTATCAGGATTCAAAGAACAAAGCTAAAACCATTTTAAAGTATTATTGACTATTCCTGATCTGTATTCAAGAGAGCACTGGAATCTGAACTGTGCTAGATAAGTTTATAGCATTTTTAACAACATAAACATTAAACATGTTTATATTCCATTTATTGGTTTTTATATCTTTGTTATCTTGTTTACATTTGGAGTTCAATCAGACGCTTTAGGTACAATAGCACACAAATTAGACAGACAAACATAGGTGATTAATAAGGTAGGACTGACAAACATAGGTGCAGACAAACATAGGACAGACAAACTCACAAACATAAGTGCAAATAAACATAAAACAGACAAACTCACAAACACAAGTGCAGACAAACATAGGACAGACAAACGTAGGACGGAAAAATATAGGTGCAGACAAACATAGGTGCAGACAAACATAGGTGTAGACAAACATAGGTGCAGACAAACATAGGTGTAGACAAATATAGTACAGACAAACGTAGGAAGACAAACATAGGACATACAAACGGACAAACCAGGACTGACAAACATAGGAAAGACAAACAGGACAGACAAAAATAGGACAGACAAACATAGGACAGACAAACATAGGATAGAAAAACATAAGACAGACAAACATAATATAGACAAACGGACAAAGTAGGACTGAAAAATATAGGACAGGAAAACCGTAGGACAAATTAAATGCTTACAGTTACACCATTTACACTTTAAGTTCTTTAAGGTCATTTTATAGAAAGAATTAATTGAATGACTCCGACAATATTGATATCATAACTGTCAACATTTGATGGATCATCTTTAGTTCAAAACAATAAATTCTGTTTGATCAAATTTAACATTCTAAGTTTTAAATATCAAAAGATTACAACCATCAGGTTGCAAAAACAAAGTTTGTTGCAAAAATCTAATTCCTTTTAAGCTTAAATTTTAGTTAATCAAATAAAACCAAAGTTAAAGAATCCATTACGTATTTGGTAATAAGTCTTCAAATACAACTTTAAACTAGGGATCCTGGTAGAAGTCAGTGAGCCATAACTGTACAGAGCTGGGAACTTTAGAATCCCGATCGGTTAATTAATCTGGAGATTAAGAAAAAGAGGAGATCAAGCATTGATCTNCCATAACTGTACAGAGCTGGGAACTTTAGAATCCCGATCGGTTAATTAATCTGGAGATTACCAGCAAGAGGAGAACAAGCATTATTTAATCTGGAGATTAAGAAAAAGAGGAGATCAAGCATTAATCTTGATATCCACCATTCTAAAGTTTTCAGCTCAGAACACATTTTCAGCCCTTAAATGAAGCTTTTTCGTATTTGCGATTTTATTCTTTTTTATATATTTAAATTATTTTACAATGTTTTGTATCTAATTTTACACGTCATGCCGCCTGTTTTTTATAAACATTGTCAGAAATAAAAAAGTTTAAAGATAAAAAGATTAAATCTTTCTTATTTACTCAGATAGAAGTTTTAGGGTATACCGTTCTGAATTTATATCATATTTTTATCTCTCATTCAAAATTAGACCATATAGTTAAAAATTTAAAAAACATAGTCCAACAAACACAGTAAAGAAGTGTATATACGTAAATAGACAGGATGGATGAAAACTGAAAAGGGGTTCTAAATTTAAGACTAAATAGACAGCTGTCTGCTGAAATAAAGAAAACTTCAATTTTTATCTTTTAATATCGAAGTCGACATTTGAAACTTATTATAAATTATGATATTTAGTATTGACACTCTGTATCTATGTTAAATTGATATTTATATTAAATATATATATATTAATTATTTATTATAGAAAAGATAAGAATATAGTTAGAAGATATGCGCCGGCCTGCCAGTGTTTACGTTCTAGTAGTTTCTACTATTCTCATCATATATACATTCTTTACGCTAGGAATATAATTCATTGTCAAATATATGCTTTTTTAATAAAAATTATAATACTATTTTTGATTTTCTTGATTGTCGTCTTCCATATATCTCTACTTTAAAATGAGAAATTATAAGAAAAAATTATCTTTCCAAATAAAATTACCACACAAGTCTTTATGCTTTAAATCAATCAAATTCTTACATAATTGTCGCATTCTTTAACGTTAAAATTTGTGTTTAAAAAAGTTCCTTTCCATGCGCAAAAACTTTTTATTCAATTTACAAAATTTTGTCTTTTATTACAATAAAAGATATTCTTGTACATTATTCTTTATAAAAAACTAGCAATATGTGTAATATTCTTTTGATATCCATAAGAACAGAGTTACACGAAAAGATTTTTTTGTCTAACCAATACGATTTTTTGTTGTGGCTTGTATCCAGATATATTTTGAATTTGCACTTTATAAAGTGAATCCCAAATATATGAATGCAAAGCAAGAGTTTTTTATAACGTCGTATTACATATTTAAGATCAAATGCCGTGGAAAAATGAGTTTAATATTAATATATCAATTGCATTTATAATTCAGGGCTATTGATTTACCTTGAAATAAAAATCAAAAGAAGTTTCTTTAGAATTCGACATTATATACAAACTCTTGCTATGTATTCATATATCTGGGATTCACTGTAAGTTCTTCAACACTAGAAATCAAGTTTTGTGCTATAATTGCGCGCATATTATTAATGAAATCCTGTTGAGCTAGGTGCAAACCATGTTTTCAAGCTAATGATAAAGGTGCTGGGGAGGTTTCAAAAATTGCAACATGATGTGATGACATATATATAATAATGGATATGTTTCATATCCATTATGCCATATCTTTTGAAAATAGACTTGTTAAGTAGTTTTAAAGTTCTAGGCTCTTTTTCAAGTGACCCTCCATGCAAAGATGGCCGATCCCGATTTATAACGGTACCCTTGAAATCTTTGTTTGATGAATTCGAAAGTATTATGAAGTATGAATTAGATTTTCATGTTTCTGTTTCTTGTCGTAAGTGACAATAGCGCATTTTTGGCTTTTATAAGAAGCAATGGAGAAATTCAAAGAAATAAACACTCATAGAGTCTGAAAAAATGACGCTATCCTACACATTTTTATTCAGATTACGGTTAAAAGGGTACTATATTCCCATCTTTGCATAGAGGGTCACTTGAAATTACGCTTACAGTCCCTTTAAGCTCGTTTTTTAGCTCTGACCCCGCCCCCCCCCTTTTTTAACATAATTATATGAATTTATATTTTTAAAGATTTGAATCTCATAGAAGCACTGCAAGGATTGTTTATAGAACATTTTTAAGAACTTAATGTTTATTGTTCATCTATAATTTAAAAAATATCTTACAACGAAAAATATATCAATGGAATGCTGCAAATATTTAGTTTTTGAGTTGAATAAATATATATGAAGCTCTTTAAATTTGTTTTCGAATATTTTATGACTATTTTCTTATCCTACAATTAGGGTTTCTATACCGCAAGTGGAATTTACTTGCGTGCAATTGCAATCCATATAAACTACCTATAGAAGCACTGCAAGGATGTTGCTACATTTCATTTTAAGAACTTAATGTTTATTGTTCATCTATAATTTAAAAAATATCTTACAACGAAAAATCTGATAATGGAATGCTGCAAATATTTAGTTTTTGAGTTGAATAAATATATATGAAGCTCTTTAAATTTGTTTCCGAATATTTTATGACTATTTTCTTATCCTACAATTAGGGTTTCTATACCGCAAGTGGAATTTACTTGCGTGCAATTGCAATCCATATAAACTACCCGCAACGGAATTCCGATTTAAAACCCTAGATTTAGATAGAATAATATAAAACCCATTTAAAAATGTCAAGACGACATTTTATAGATTCTTTTGATGTCGCTAAAGTTTTGGGTTAAAGTGTATAGTTCTAAACAACTCAATTTTGTGGTAGTGAACCAACGGAACGACCAGCTTGATCTAGATCTGATAAAACAACAATTTGTTCGGTAAACATTGATATTTCTAAATTGGGTTTATACGAGATTACAAGATTTTTTAAGGGAAAACCACCCATGAATGACCCTTGGATAGAACTGATTTTTAGGACATATCCTAACGTAACCCTGGAGGAGAAGGATAAGTTTCTAAGGATAAAGACTGATGAGTATCTGAGGAGAAGAGAAACTATCCAGAGTTTTTGTAGGAACAGTTCGGAACCAGAGTTCAGTAGACAGATCATAAATAACAGTTTAGGTAATGAATATATTTACAAATTACTAATCTATGAATAAAAATTAAAAATTGAAATATATGTATCGCTTTTCTATTACTGAAATTGTTGTATAAACAGGTTAACCACAAATGACGATACTTCAGAGACTAATTTACTGAAGTTATACTGTCTGTTTCATGATTCCCTGTAACCATGAACTTCTATCTCTCTTTTCAAAGTTATTTAATAAATCATATAAAGAAAACTTAACTTAACCAGGCCCACTGCAAGTATCAAATATCCTGCATAGCAGCATAATGCCTTATCGACAAACTTACATAAAACTTCTTCTGATACATTTATCATTCTATTTTTAATCATGGTTGCAAAGCTAAAATTCTTAGCAAAACTTTAACTAGATGAATTATCAGAATTCAGTTTAATGAGGGCCAGAACATTCTGGAGTATCAAAACTAACTTTAGAATAAAATTATTCCTTGTAATTGCCCAATAAACTTGGGACACATAAATTGTGCAGTGTTAACAGACCCATTTAACAAATATAACTGTCAGAACTATTTGCTTTGTAAAAGCATCAAATACACTTAAGTATTGCTATAATGTCGTCTTCCTATATCCACAGTATAACTATTTTCTGTTTAGTTTATGATGCACAGGATGAAGTTTCCTATTGTATGATACCAAAGGTAATCAATACCAATTAATGGCAAGGGAGTAAAAAGAGGGCACAGTCTGCCTGAACAAAATCAAGACTCTTGAAATGCCTCAGAGAAAAGGTTGGTCCGGTAGGGTTTGAAAATATTTAAAAAAACATATCGAGAAAAATGATTATCCTAACTTTTTTCTTCAAGATCTTTTTGAGAAAATTAATGTTTTATAGATCTACTTGTATAAGTTATAATTGGTTTAGTTTTTTTTTTCCTTTTGAAACAATTTCAAAACTAAATAGAACATTTTATTAGCAATTGACAAAATGAAAAAAAAAATTTATATGATGAGACTATAAAGACGACCTAAAACTCTTAAAATATGATGATTCTAAGATTAAATTGTCCTACAAAAGTCATTGTAAACGTGTAAAAACAGAAAATAAAGAAAAAATAAAATTGCACTTATTTTACTGTTAGATATGCACTTTATTCTAAAGTTATCACTATTATTGTTAATTTTGTTGGAGACAAAAACTGAATTGACACTTGTGACGTCGGAATACAGTTGTACTGAGAGTGTACAATTTCTACGTTGCCATCTATTGTGCTAGAATCTCTTTTGATATAATTTTGAAAACCGATAATTTTCAATTGTGGGTTCTTTATAACAAAAGTAACATGCGCGCATATCTATTGCAGGAATTATCAGAATTATTTCCAGGGTACCGTTGTGAATCGGGCATTGTCCTCTTTTCATGAAGGGTCACTTAATATAACCCTCACAGTCCCTTTAAAAATAAATAATTTTTCCAGGCAGCGTCTTCTACTTGGTGTACTCACTTCATTGATCTAGGTACTAATCTTTCAATTCAAACCCATCTTCTTTACTCAGAAACAAATATATTTGGAAACTTAATATCAGCAACTATCTATGTTTTCCATTATGTAAATGCTTAAACGTACTGAGTACTCGCCTAAAACTCTAATTTCAAATATCTATATCTGTTCAACCTGACAGTGTAAGCTTTTGAAATTTTTAAACTTTGACTATTTGTACTCACAGAAATCATCTTTGCCACACATTCAAATTTTCTTATCCCTATATTTTTGCAACCTGATGTTGAAAACATTTGATATTTCAATCTAACCGAATATATAATTTAAAATATCCAAGGTCTACTCGACATTGGATGGGAAGCAACTTGCAAAGATATAGAGATTAGAAAATCTGAGTTTGTGACAAAGATTAACTCCTTTCTACGACATCAGGTTTCAAAGATTTTCAAGTAATTGATTCATAATTGAAAGATTAATTAAACTAAGGAAACCCGTCTAAAAGGATAAGATCACAATACAGTCAAGCTCTACAGTTTCTTGCTCCTAAACTCTTCCCTGCTCCACCTCTAGATACACTTCAGGGAGTTAGTAAATACAAACTACATTAATCAATTGTACTCAGACCAGGGGAGGGGGGGAGGGTGATGGCAGAAGTCCTCAATTTGTAATCATCACTTCCTCAATTTATAATCTGAAAAAAAATCTAGCTTTAAATCGCTTGTTTCTTAAAATGAAGACAAATCAGTAAAAGTATTTTAAACATGGGAGAGCACCATTTTAATTTATGCAATAATAATAACTAATTACGCCTTAAATATGATTTTGAACCTGACAGTATAATAAATAATAAGTGAAAATATGGTACCCTGGTTGGCATTAAATATCCCCGTGCTAAGCCACCCATCCTGGACAAATTCCAACATCCACCCCCCCCCCCCCTGAACATTGATTGTGATTGTGATTTCTAATTCTCATATTTACCCTAAGAAACAACGGTATACATTAGACTCCTATTTAATATCTAATCCATGTTAAAACAAACAACCCTTGATCTCTTGATAATTTTCTCTAAATTGTCAAAGACGTAGATAAGATACAAAGTTATAGTTGATTTTATATTTACAGTCTTTTTTTGCCTGAAGGAAGCCTGGAGTAAGACGACATCCTTAGTTGTTGTTCGTCATCCGCTTGCTAGACTTGCCTCAGTTTACCAGGAGAAGTTTGTCAAATATGCAGACAATAAGGAAAGTAAAAATCAATTTGAGATTAATCAAAAATAAGAAAATAAAAAAATTGCCTCAGCTTTTTAATTCAATGGGCACTGAGTCCCGCTAAAAATAATTTTTAAAAAAAACTTTAGCCTCCCCCAACCCTCAGGAAAAATTCCCGGGAACGCCTCTGGCGAAAACTCTAATGCCGTCTCATCCTTTTTGGTTAACCCTGTATCTCAAATCATTTAACAACTTAGTCCTGGGGCCCTCTGGGAAGGAATATAATAAGTATGTACAGACAGAAGATTGAACCTCGAGAAATAATTAAACCTGAGAACGAGAATATACCAACTCCAGAAGAAATGATCAGGTATTCACACAGATCAGGTAGAGATAGTCGATAGATGCATCATTGACGCGGACCGAAGGAAGATACTAACCTACTATACGCCCACAATGCATCCTGTACATGAAGGTTGCGGCATTGCGCACTTTTAAAACACATGTACTGGCTTGTCAGATGCCGGTACGCGTCAATCCTGCATCTTTGTCTATCCGATCTGTGGGTATTCATTTTTAAATTATCCCAATTTTCAATTCTTTCACCCAGAAGCCCACAAGAATTATCCTTTCTTAAAACACATTTTGGGCTAATTGAATCAGAAAAACTGAGTCGAAAATTGTAAATGTCTGTAAGTTAGTAGTATTATAATTAATTGCTTATCAATTTTAGCTTAAAGGTTGCCGAAATTTTGTTTTTGAACACAATATTGACTTAATTTTAGATTTGTGACATATCAACTGAACTCGGGGAGCATTTATAATAATAGCAAAATTTCAAATTGTTAGAAATATTTTGTAAAATTGTTGTAAACTTTCTTTTGCATTCTCAGTTCATGATAAATTCTTTAAAATGTTTATATGGTTCCCGGATTTAAAAAAAAAATCTTTACACATTCTATTTGATAAAATTTGATATTTTTTTGCGAAAATGTCGAAAAAAACAATAGTTTGAAATATAATTTTAGTTTTAAATCGATTATTGTTATAAACTTGGTTTCTCTCTTCTAACAAAAAATCGATTTGTATCAATAATTGCAGAATGTTATTTTATAAAAGATTATAATAGTGATGGTAACCGATTTCAATTCAAATTCGGCAAAAGCCTCTTTAATTTTTCGCGAAAAATCCTCTTAAAGGGATCGTAAGCGTAGTGACCCTCCATGCAAAGATTCCCAGTAAGCCCGAATTAAATTGGTAACCAGAAAAGCTTTGTCTGATCAAGTATGAATTAGATATCAATGTTTATAATTATGAAAAGCGATTATATTCAATTGCGGAGTCTCTAAAAAAATACTGCAGGAAATCACATAGGAATTATCAAAATGTAAACATTAAACCATAAATAAACGAGAATATCTCCCACATTATTGATCAAATAAAGGGTGCCGTTGTGAATTAGGCATTGCCATCTTAGCATGGAGACTCACTCATAGTTAAGCTTACATGACTTACAGTCATGGAGAATAGAATATATATTAGAGGGGAATTTACTAGAAAAAAGTGTAAACCGGCCATTTTGTTGTATTGTTTCCATACTAAAGGTGTACTGCACATATTTATGCTATATAACCTTTTGGGCCCTGGAATATCATTTTACAGAAAATCTAAAATTATTGTTAAAAGAAAACCAAATTATGAAATAGGCTGGTTTCATAATTGACCAATGATCATTTCACATAGTCTCTATGCCTTCCACTTTACAAACGAGATTTTCCGTTATAACTATAAATCAAATGATGTTTTTTATTAACCTAATCCATTTAGTTTATTTAACAGTTTAAAAAATTCGAAATTGAAATGAATAGTCTAGGGAACATACTCTATCAATGTACTCTACTGCACATAATTTGTGAACATTTACATGATTTGTACACTTTGAACTCCCTTTCAGGCTGAAAGGGACTGAATAAATTCATACCGAGGGATTTTCTAAATTCCACTCTAATATATATTCTATTCTCTATGCTTACAGTCCTCTTACATCCTTCTAAAACTGAAATATAAATGCGCCTAAAGATGAAAAGGGTGGATCAGCATTGGAAACCTCAGCATGAAAGCTGTCCCTTCTGTTTACTGGACTTTACAGTGTACGCCAGGTATCCATAGTTCACAGAGTACATAACTAAATAGATATTCATCATAAGACGATCTTTAGGTCTTCATTCTTTTATAATTTTTGTGGGACACAATGCACGTACACATTGCTCACATGTTTATATTCATTTTGAAGTGTGAACAATGTAAATTATGTACTCGTGTAAAGTCAAACAAAATGTTTAAAAATTATTTTCGTCTTCAATAAATGGCTGTGAGCTAGGGGTTGAATTGTTTAGGGCTGTAAGGATAAATGAATATCGAGGGTTGAAGTGATAACCGAATGTGGAGGGTTGAAGAGATAACCGAATGTGGAGGGTTGAATAGATAAATGAATGTTTAGGGTTAAAGAGATAAATGAATGTTAAGGACTGAAGAGATAAATGAATGTTTAGGGTGGAAGATCTAAATGAATGTTTAGGGTTGAAGAGATAAATGAATGTTAAGGGTTGAAGCGATAAATGAATGTTTAGGGTGGAAGATCTAAATTAATGTTTAGGGTTGAATAGATAATGTTTAGGGTTGAAGAGATAAATGAGGATACTCTATTCTTCTTGATAACCTCTGGACTAGAGGGTCGATTAAACCCTGGGATAAGGATAAACCCTTCAACTCATGATGAGAGAACGTTTTGGTCTCAGGTAAAGGGTTGACCATAACAGAGGTGAGACTGCAGAGATAACTGTGACGGATTGTATAGTCCTTTTTTAATCAATGTCATTTATTAAACTATTAATCCACAAATTTAACCTGCAGATCGTCACATTTAATGAGTTCTGGGAATCATTATTAATATCTTCTCCTTTGTGGGTATCCCTGTTTAATGTGTAGGGCTAACTGATCTAATACTATAAAATAAAAGTATAAAAAAATGTTATACAAATGTTATATATTCTTTATTATATCTGCAATTCCATGAGATATTCAATTAATCAGTACTAAATTGAACAGGAACTGCTACTCAAGCAATTTATAAATTTTGTAAACACCTCTGAAACATATTATCGCCAAAAATTGGATTTTTTAGTGCTGGGGTTTCTCCTTTCCTTCCCTTTTCCCTCTGCTATTCACCCATCCTTTTTTTCTATATTCAAATTACTTCGTACTTTGTGTAATGTATTTGTTTTTGATAATTTCAAAAAAAATGTTTCTATAAAACTTTGAAGGGCCAGCCAATCAAAACAACCAGAAATTGTTCGGCTGTAGTCCTGGCTAGTGATTGTTTAGTTATAAATTATAAAATTAAAAATGTATTTATTGTGATGTTAGCCGAAATATCTATCTATCTATATATATATTTGTTATAGATAAATAAATATCCCCTACAGTTTGGATTTGAGCACTTTGTAAAATAGTATAATTTAATCAATTGTCTAATGTGATTAAATTTTCCAGGTTTACAATGAGACGATATCTGAACTTCTCCACCCTTATCAACAAGATTTTCTTATGTTTAATTACTCTGCTAGAGCGTATCTAGAAAATTTAAATATTCCTTTCTCCTCAGCTCTCATCTATCTTTAGTAAACCTAAAGGTACTGATTTCTCGCCTGCAACTTTATTTTTCTAATCCTGATATTTTTGCTTCCTGATGGTGTATACCATGGTATCTAAAATGTTGACTATTAAATAAAGCAAAATTCATGTCACAGGTCATCAGGTTGAACAGACATTAAGATTAGAAAATTAGAATTAGAATTTGAGGAAAGATATCTGTTCCTTCAGAATAAGTTTATTCATAATCTAAGCCAAATTGTGATATTCGTATTTACAAATTTTATAAAAATTTAATAATCTTAGTGTAAACTCTTTATAAAAGTTTACACAGCTACCTATCTTAGTTTTGGTAAAGCTGGATTAAAAACTGAATTCATTTAAAATAAAATATTTTGTATTAATGTGATTTAAAATGTTATTTTATAAGTGAGTGTGAATGACAAAGTAGGGTGGGTCACAAAACAAAATGAAAAGTAAAAAGAAGGATCCTTGAAGGAAATAGAAAAACAACAGTTGTAAGAATTGATTAAAACATCTTCATGCGGACATTCGGACTATCTTATTTAAAATTTACATCATGAATTCTTTTAATTCTACAAGGAATTTCTAACTTTGGTTAATAACAATATTTTTATATTGCAATAAAATGAAAAAAAGAGTTTCGAAACTCATATATTTAGAAAAACAAACAAATTGTCCATTTATTCATTCTAAAAAATCAGTATTAATACTTTGAGTTTAGGAGTTCATATTCTTAGATTACTGGGATACCATTACATGAAATACAAAAAGGTTAGTAATGACTATGTTTCGTGGATAATGACGCTAGATGACTTTCCAAGAAAATAATCTTGCAAAAATGTTCGCAACCCATCTGAACATATTCGCAACCCATCTGAACATATTTCATGTACTGTACCGCGTAATTTCAAGTTACTCTTCATTTAGAAAGTGGAATGTCTGGCGTTTCCAGCGAAAAGGGTAAATCGTTTCGCGAAAAAAAACAAATGCGGATTTTTTTTTGGGGGGGGGGAATGCGAAAATTTTGTAGAAAAAATACGGAAGAGAAATTATTAATTATGATAAAATAAAACTTCTAATGCTAACCTCTGAGAGCAGAAAAGTTTTTAGAGCAATAAATTGGTGTAGCTATGGTTTTCGCGTAATTTATTTTTTTGTGATTTTTTTTTGCGAAATTTTGCATCGTTTACGCATTTTTTGCTTTATTCATTTTTGCGAAATACGAATGAAAATTTTCGCGATTTCTTCGCGAAAGTTTTCGTTTGCTGGAAACCCTAGGCATGTTTGATTAAGAATACAGAAGGTATTCATCATAAAAATTACTGGAGGAAACTGTCAGAATTAAGCCCTTTTAAAGCTGGAAGAACGATGATATCTCACGCATTAATGATCAGACAAAGGATGAAAGGGTACCGTTGTGAATCTGAAATGTTTTTTTTCAATGGAAAGTAATTTGAAATTACAACGAAATGCATTTTTTCAAATTTTTTTAATTGCATTTTCAATGCAACGCACTGTAGTAATTAGAGGGCCATATTTATTCTTGCCTTTGTCAACATAAATCTAAGTTAATTGAATAATTAGTTCGATAAAATATTTAACTCATTTCCTGGCTATTGTTCTCTTCTAGGAAATAAGAAGAAATCGTTCAACAAAATCTGAGTATATGTAGATATATATATATGTAGATATATCTGAGTATATGTAGATATATATATATGTAGATATATCTGAGTATATGTAGATATATCTGAGTATATGTAGATATATCTGAGTATATGTAGATATATCTGAGTATATGTAGATATATCTTTGGCGTTTACTTCTTAAAATATTGACTGTGAATATATTTAAAAAAAAAACAAGTTAATTAAACTTAAATACAATAATTTTCCTGAATTTTCTCATTGTTGAGGTTTTCCCTCAAATAGGAGAATAATCTAGCTTCATACATATAATTTTACAATATTCAAGTATTCAAGTAGATATATATTTGACTATTACATTTTCCAATATGTCACGTGAATATAGATGAGATGTTGTGTTGTGAACTATATATGAAGAGTTGTTATGTAATCTTGTAATCTTGGTTTGTTTTTGTAACTTTATCCCATCCCTCGTTCCGAGCTCAAGGCTCAGCTTATTCCCATGCAAGGTCCTGTCATTGCACTTGTTAGAATCTTCAGTTTAAACTAGGGTTTTCCAATACTTATTTCGGACTAGAGTTTTCCGATACTCATTTCGGACTAGAGTTTTCCGAAACTTATTTCGGACTAGGGTTCACCGATAATCATTTCGAACTACGTTTTACCATTACTCAATTCAGACTAATGTTTTCCGATAATCATTTCGGACTAGGGTTTACCGATACTCATTACGGACTAGGGTTTTTCGATTCTTATTTCGGACTAGGGTTTTTCGATTCTCATTTTGGACTAGAGTTTTCCGATGCTCATTTCGGACTAGGGTTTACCGATAATCATTTCGGACTATGGTTTTTCGTTTCTCATTTCGGACTAGGGTTTTTCGATTCTTATTTGAGACTAGGGTATACCGCTACCCACTGTCCTGTCATTGCACTTTTTAATATCTTCAGTTCGATAATCATTTCAGACTAGGGTTTTCCGATTCCCATTTCGGACTAAAGCTTACCAATAATCATTATAGATTTTCCATTTTTTTCAAATAGGATGTTCCGATACTCATTTCGGATTATGGTTTTACAATACTCAGTTCAGACTGGGGGTTAACGTTCGATGCTCTTTTCAGAAACAGTTGACTGATACTCATTTCAGACTATTGTTTAAAGATACTCATTTCAGACTATTGTTTACAGATTCTCATTTCAGACTTTTGTTTACAGATACTCATTTCAGACTTTTATTTACAGAATCTCATTTCAGAAATTTGGTTACATATACTCATTTCAGACTTTTGTTTACAGATACTCATTTCAGACTTTTGTTTACAGATACTCATTTCAGACTTTTGTTCATATATACTCATTTCAGACTTTTGTTTACAGATGCTCATTTGAGACTTTTGTTTACTGATACTCATTTCAAACTTTTGTTTACAGATGCTCATTTCAGACTTTTGTTTACTGATACTCATTTCAGACTATAGGACTTAATTTGATAAATAGACATGGTGAATTTTTTTTATTTTGTTAGAACAATATTTGTATATATAAGTTTGTTTGTTTACGAAAACTTAACTAAGATTGGTTTAACATAGTTAATTCAATTTTTTTTCCCTTCATAATCCTGCACTTTATACAATGTGACATTTTTCATCTTGAAAGATATAAATGTACAGAGATGTTTTAAAGATATTCCTATTAAATAGATTAACTAGGTCGGTTGTGAACATTGGCTGTTCTAATGTCATTGAGTACTTGTGGTGTGCATAAGTTCTGTAGAGAGAAATTTAAGTTAGTTTAGTCCTTCTCATGTCCTTCTTCATTTCTCATTAATATGATATATTGCTCAGTGAAATAATTTGATATTCTCAAAATAAAAGTCACTCCTGAGCTGAAAACTTTAGAATGGTGGATATCAGGATTACCGCTTAATCCACTCTTTTTCTTAATCTCCAGATTAAATATTGCTTGTTCTCCACTCATTTTTAATCTCCAGATTATTTATCCGATCAGGATTAAGGATATCCCATTCAAAAGTTTTCAGCTCTGAGTGGTTAATAATTATGAAATCCATTAAAACACCAAACCACCCCGCTTATCATTGAAGTACACTTTAACCCCTAGAAGTATGAGTTCACGGACTGTACAATTCTTGGTGATTTTGCGTACATAAGCTATCTATGTTTATTTATTTATCTATGGGTCGGATTCTCTGTAACATCTCTTATTTCATGACTGATTCAAGAACTGTTAAATAGATTGTAATCTCGTCTCAGTGGATCACCAGATAATGTCTGGATATATAATATATACATTCAAGTAAACAGTATTCACCCCGGGAATTTATAACGAATTTTCCTCTGAGTTCATGTTATTCCAAAATTATTATAAACTATTTTCCAGATTTCAAGAGGGGTNCGATTTATAAAATTGGGAACATTTTTTGCCTCAAAATCTCAGGGAGGGGCTACGCCCCTCCGTGAATCTGTCAGGAGGTGGCGAATGTCCCCCCGCCACCCCCCTGTGTCCGCCCCTGGTAATAATACCTGACCAAATATATTCTTATCAGTTTAGTAGTGCTATAGGTTAGACAATTATTTTTAAGCTAATCACCCCTTTTGCCAGTGACCGCGCTGACAAGAAAAAGGATGAACTCTTGGTTTTCTTTTTTCAACAATAAAAACTGTAAAACTGTTTCCTTCTTGGTCAAATCATCCAAAATACTATTGCTTATTGAATAAGTTTATTAAAAGTAAAATATTCAATATTCAGATCTTTACTATAGACTAGAGATTCAGGAAGCAATAAAAGTCTGGTCCTTTGTGGGTAACCTTGCATCCAAGTTATTAAATAAAATTGTTACATTTGATCCTAAGGGTATTAGAATAGGAGAATAATCTAGCTTCATACATATAATTTTACAATATTCAAGTATTCAAGTAGATATATATTTGACTATTACATTTTCAAATATGTCACGTGAATATAGATGAGATGTTGTGTTGTGAACTATATATGAAGAGTTGTTATGTAATCTTGTAATCTTGGTTTGTTTTTGTAACTTTATCCCATCCCTCGTTCCGAGCTCAAGGCTCAGCTTATTCCCATGCAAGGTCCTGTCATTGCACTTGTTAGAATCTTCAGTTTAAACTAGGGTTTTCCAATACTTATTTCGGACTAGAGTTTTCCGATACTCATTTCGGACTAGAGTTTTCCGAAACTTATTTCGGACTAGGGTTCACCGATAATCATTTCGAACTACGTTTTACCATTACTCAATTCAGACTAATGTTTTCCGATAATCATTTNACATTGGGTTCCAAAGATATAGTGATTAGAAAATCAGAGTTTGTGGCAAAGACACAATTCCTTTATTTCCAGAAAGAGATAATAAGAGTAATTTCATGATCTTGCACTTATGGCTCACTACTGAAAAACTATTATATTAATCCTAAATTTTATTCATTTTCCTGTTTGTTTTCTTGTAACGTTTCTTAAACATCCCTGCCACACCCCTTCCCTTACCCTGCCACACCCCTTCCCTTACCCTTCCTTCCCCGCCTAGATTTCCCCTCCATACATCTTGGGTTTTAACTGTGTAGTGTGTATTGAATAGGTTTGAGCTCCGGGATGCTTGACACGGAGTAGGGAGGAGGAGAGGACCAGGCGTAACTCAGGGTTCTCCGGGGTACTGGAACTACACAACCCAAACAACAACAAAAAAAATATGAACATTTTCGCCACTTCAAACTTTATTAAATATCTATTTAAAAAAAAATGAAATTTGTAAAAAATTGTTATTTTTTAGGAACTGTAAAACATTAAATCCTTAGGGGTTTCCGGGACCTAGACCGCCTGTGTCACCAAACCAGTTCCTGCCGCCAGGGACTAGGAGAGGAGCGCCTCTACACATATATTCTCCGACTCTGGGAGTAATATTGAGCAGAGAAGTTGTTCAGTCACTAGTGTGCGCTCAGTCAAGGTTTGAAGCGGGGCCGGCTAGTTTACATTGACCCTACCCCCATCTCAGATCAGTTGTGTTTTTTAAATCTAAACCAAGCTGTTTAGGAGTTAACTTGTATTCGAATATATTCCAGGAAACGGATTTAAAACTAAACGTTTCCTAAGATTTCGTGTTAAATTCAATTGACTCTAGATGTTCGTGACTCCTGGAAGGAATGCTTGTTGAGGATTTAAAACCTAAATTCAGTTCTGAAGAACTATCGAGAGGAAGGATGCTAAACCTAATGTGGTCTCAGGACTGTGATATTATTATTAAAGAGGAGCAGGATCATTGCTCGGACCGGAGCAGTCCTAGGCTAATAGAACAGATACATGGAGCAGCGTATCATGATTTAAACTACGGAGTTACAGTGACCCTTACCCCTACGGAGACGGACGGTTATGAATATTTAGAACCGGAGGAATCTTCAACTCTTCAAACTCTTCAACCCCTTCCTTCATTCCATTCTTTACCATCGTCACCCTCTAGGAAGCAGCTTGACTTTGTTCCAGTCAGCATCCATGAGTTCGTAAACAGCAGTTCTGCTCATTCTCCGGATAGTAGCGGTCAACCTTCAGCTTTTCATCCTACTCCTCCTCAGGAGTCGGGATCAGGACCAAGGAGAAGAAAGAGAACGAACTCCGGGTCTAGTGGGTGTTCTAACACGTCTTCAACCTCTAAGGCTACTAAGAGAAGACGGCCTCCTATTTCCCATGATGAGCTTATGTTGCAAAGAAACCAAGGTGAGACTATTAGATTAATATTTCTGTTATTTATTATCCAAGGGGGTTTGGTTTAAAAATTTAATAGAGGAACTGATTAATTTTGCCACAAACTCTGATTTTTAATCCCAATATCTCTTAAACCTTATGTCATAGATCTTAGATATTTCAAACTATGAATTCTGTCAGATTAATTATTTTAAGCATGAAATTACACCATCAGGTTGTTAAGCTATAGGGATTAACACATTTGATTTTGAGTCTATTTTTTTAATCATTATATGTATATTTTTACATTATTGACGTTTATATAATTGTTAACAATTAACCATGGATGTGAACGTTGTGAATCGGGCATTAACATCTTTGCATGGAGGACATGGAGGGTCAAAATTATCATGATTTGTAACTTGAATAAACTGAAAATAGCTTTTCTGCTCCCTTAACTATTAACGTAGAAAAACAAACTATTTTACATTTATTTAAATATTACTTTACTTAAGTTTCTTTTTCAACTTTTAATTCAAGTAGATATTTGAATTACTTACGCCGTTTTTATTACAAAAATATTATAACCATAAGATTATTTAGATTCATAAACTTTAAGAACTATAAAAAGTATAAATACTTAATTTGAATTAGACTTAAATAAGTAAACATTGTATAAATAAAGTAACGACTAAAAATGTTGAACATTAGAAGGAATTTATAAGAATGAGGGCCTGGTTTTTGAGAGTGCAGAGATAGGGGTAAAGGGGGGGAGGGGTTAGAAATAGGGAGTCGCTGTAAGTGGATGGTGGGTAATTCGTTGAAGCTTAAGATGTTGGGGGNCCTATATCTTTGAAATCCGGTTCCTAGTTCCTCATATTTCTCTGGTATTCATGTTCCTAGATCTTCATATTTCTCTGGTTTTCATGTTCCTATTTCTTCATGTTTCTCTGGTATTTATGTTCCTAGTTCTTCATATTTCTCTGGTATTCATGTTCCTATTTCTTCATGTTTCTCTGGTATTTATGTTCATAGTTCTTCATATTTCTCTGGTATTCATATTCCTAGTTCTCCATATTTCCCTGAAATAAAGCTTCTAGTTTCTCTTTCTATATCAGATATTCATGATCTTAGTTCTCCAAGTTTCGCTGGCATTAATGTTTACATTTCTTTTAAAATCTCTGATATTCATATTTCTCTGGTATTCATGCTATTAGTTTTCCATGTTCTCTGGTATTCATGTTTCTAGTTCTCCATGTTACCATGTTTCTCTGGTATTCACGTTCCTAGATCTCCATGTTCACAGGTCTCCACGTTCCAAGTTCTCAATTTCCATGCATATTTCTCTGGTTTTCATGTTTATAGTTCTCTTTAAATCTCTGGTATTCCTGTTCCTTGTTCTTCATTATTTGTTGTATATATCGTATTCCTGTGAACTGTATACATAGAGATAGATTCACAGATCCTCATACTGTAGTTTAAATCTTAAACAAAGAAGATCATTAAGTTCTGGGCGAACAGAGCTAATCTGTAATGTCTGCTAAATATTTCAAACATCTATCTGTTAAATCCCCCTCCTCCTCCCATCTCACTTTAAGGTATCTAAATCCACCAGGAACCTATATGGCCCATTAACGTCTTTATTTTTCCTAACTCTAGTTCCCTAGTTCCTTGGTCTTTTTCTTTTAACCTTGTTCACATCATTTAATGTTCCCAGTGTACATAAATCCAGCTTTCGAGATTCAATACTTTTTGGCCAAATCAGATACAATGCATCCTAAAAGTTTTCAATAACAAAGACAGTTTATTTTTGGTCAGATTAAAATTAAAATAATTGGCGAAAGAAAGAAAACTTGAAAATGTACAAAATATCTACATCTAAACCTGGAAATAAATACAAGGTCATATAACTGAGGGCTTGAGAAAAGTTGATGTAGCTCCGGTATAAATATAAAGGTAGAACTGTGAAGATGTGTTGAAAGGATGAGTACATAATATATACTAGGAGCAGGTGCATCAATATTCCTTTACTCCAGGGTCAGTTTAGGTAGATTGTATACAATTCCAAGGGTTCGGTAATCGGAGGAGCGGGTCGTAAAGGAGTTGGGGATTTAGGTCACATGGGGAAATCAAATAAAGAAAAACTGGTTTCGATTTCTTTTGGGCATAAAACACAACAAAAAGCACGTACAACAAAAACTAAATATTTTTCAAATCTCCGACAGTTCTGATACAGGGTGTCCCACATCATATTAGACCGAGAACGGGTCTAAATTACGATTTTCGGGACTAATTAGAAAATTTCATTAGAATGAATTATTTTGAAAAATGAGGGGGAATGGATCATAGGGGAATAGATCGGGGGTGATCGAAGGCAATAGTAAAGAAATAAATGTCTTCAGATAACAGGAAAGATCGGAGGGAGCATTTAGGGAATACAAATAGATGGAAGTTGGTGGGATATTTCGGAGGACGGGGAACAAATCGGAGGATTTATCAGAATATGGGAATATATCGGAGGATTTATCAGAATATGGGAATATATCGGAGGATTTATCAGAATACGGAAATAAATCGGAGAATTTATCAGAATATGAGAATTTATCGGAGGATTTATCAAAATATGGGAATAAATCGGAGGATTTATCAGAATATGGGAATAATTAAATATATCTGACAAAGGAAATATATTAAAGGGAGGGTAATATTATGGAGGAAATATCCTATAATGGAGAAAAAGAATTTATCAGAAGAATGGGAGTACATCTGAGGGAAGAAGATCTAAAGATAGGATCAGTTAATTCAAATTCCAAAATATTGGAATTCAATGTTTTAAATGCATATTAACATTTTTGTGAAAAATGTCCCCCCGCCCCCCACACAGATAAAGCGTGGGAATGTTACTGCAAAATTTGAAACGAGGGGAGGGGGGGATATTGCTTAGTATAAACACACAACTATTTTGAAATTATATATATACAATATCTCTATATTCGAATATACTGTTTACAAACATTATGTTTCAGCAAACGTGCGTGAGCGGCAGAGGACGAAGAATTTGAACGACGCGTTTTCAACTCTCCGGGAGATAGTTCCAACTCTTCCTTCAGATAAACTCTCCAAGATACAAACCTTGAGGCTCGCTAGTAGATATATAGATTTCCTTAATAATGTAAGTAAACAGTTTACTCTAGATATATATATATTATAAATCTCTAGATATTCTCTAAACTATTCTTTTATTCTAGATAGTTACTAACACTGTTCCATTTGTTTGAAAACATTCTAATCCTATTCCATTATTTTAGATATTTTACAAACCTGTTCCAAAATTCTTTATATTTTTATAGACTAATCGCATCTTCTAAGTTTTTTCTAGATACTTTGTAAACTTGTTCCATTATTCTAGATACTTTCTAAACTTGTTCCATTTTTCCAGAGAGACTGAAGTTTTCAATAATAATTGGAGACTACTGGAGAGTACCGGAGGGTTCTAAATTCAGTGGAGAGAAAATTACTTCTACTGGAGAGCTTTTAAATTTTTACCAAAATATTAATTCTACCGGAGGGGTTTCTATTCCACTGGAGCACAAACTATTCATATCAGGGAGCCTTGGAATTTGAACCTAAATTAATAATTCTACCGGAGGTTTTTTTTTTAATTCATTGGAGGGATTAGATTGTGTAGAAAAACAGGTTTGAATTTTTCCCCAAAGTGATTCATATCTTACAAAAGCATTTTAGATGTATTTTTATACATTACTTGTCTGTCTTGGATTTTAGTTGTAAACAGGAAAATCTAAAAAAAATTATCTACATTTTGCAGGTTTTCAGATATATCAGTAACAAAAAGCTAAAATTATTACCCAGTAGTGTTTATAATAGCAATAGTTGAAAACCCGGTAAAATATAAATCACTATGGGGAAAAATTCAAACCTTTTTAGTACACAGAGAACATGCCTCCAGTGAATTAAAAAACCCCCCCAGTAGAATTTTTTTCTTGGTAAGAACTCAAATCCTCCCTATTTTGAAATGCAATTTACTCCAGTGGAAAAGAAACCCCTCCGGTAGAAGTTATATTTTGGTAAAAATTTAAAAGCTCTCCAGTAGAAATAATTTTCTCTCCACTGGATTTAGAACCCTCCGGTACTCTCCAGTAGTCTCCAATTATTAATGAAAACTTCAGTCTCTCATTTTTCCAGATAATTTGTAAACTTGTTCCATTATTCTAGATACTTTCTAAACCTATAACTATTCTTTAATTCTATCCAGCCCTATTTTATTATACTACAAACTTTCTTAACTTCTTTAGTCTAGAAACGTTTCAGCTTTAAAGTTTGTTCTTGTCACGTTAAACCTAGAAATGATAGAAACTAAGTTTTTTCTTCTTCTAGATCTTGAATGACACCAGTCCTCAGTCCTACGAGAGCAGGACGGGTATCCAGGCTGGAGTTTCAGTACGAGAAGAGCTCTCTCATCAGTTCAACGTATGGAGGATGGATCTAGAATACAGAGCACCTGGAAACGTCTCACCAGACTTGTGAATCTCCCAGCCTTAAACTGAGCTTTATGCAATCAAAGAGACTTAAAAATTTATCATTCTACGAGCTTTGGTTTCAGAACAGAAAATTCTAGTGAAACCTAAAATTCTGAAACCCTTTGTATTTACGCGACGAATTTACTTAATACTCTTCATTGAAGAAATGAGAACAATTCAGAGTTTCCAAGTTACTCCAGGTCCTAGTCTCTAGTCCCTACTGGAACCAATATTTCTCAATGAATCTCTCTGCTTCCTTTTCCCTGATACAGCATCACTTACTCAACCTTAACCTTTACTCTTCTAAACTAGATCATGTATTAAACAAAGTGCCTAATAGATCATCATACAAAAAATACGAGGCCTACATATTTACGAAGTGCATGAAAATTTTATTTTTTGTTTAATAAGTTATAGGAAATACATAGCAGCACAAGAACTTAGGGGATTGGACTTTTTACAGTTTACTGTGAATTTTCAGTACAGCTCGAGAACCAATTGAATTGTAAAAAATAAAAAATATGGTTGAAATTCCTGGTCATGGCAGAAGGGCCATGCTTGAACAATAAACTTGTTCCTGTGCTGACCTAATACGTCATAGAAAGATGTAAACAAACCCTCTCTCTTTTGTTCTATTACTCCCAGGGCCGGAAATTTAACATAGTATCATTGAACGATACTCTCGAGTTTCCTTTTTGGGGTCTTTACATTTGCGTAGATTTTAATTCAAGAAATCAGAAAACAGAAAGAGAATGTAAAGAAACCACATGAAATAATATTTCTTAACAAAAATATTGGTATCTACAAAACTGCCTGACCCCATTCATGAAACCGGGTTTTATTACGATACTCTGTCTTCAGTTTCGGGCTCAGGAAATACCATGCTGACTGTTGATGTGTACATATACCGGTGTACACTAGATAACTTGTACAGAACTTGTTCATTTGTTTCATGTACCCAATTTATCAGTGATCAATGAATCCGGAAAACCGGAAGCTCGTTTAAAATTTTGTTGTGACTTACTCATAGCGAGATTAAAGAAATGGAATCTATGCCAACTCAAATTTGTAATCCCTATATCTTTGAAATCCGATGTTGTAAATCTTTGATACATTGGGTTGCAAAGATTATAGAGATTATAAAATCAGAGTTTGTGGCAAAGTCCCAATTATATTTTATGAAACATAACCTAACTTTAACGCTCAAAAAATGAATTACGTTCGGGGATAAAATATACTTTTTGGTTTCACTGTTTTTTGGACTCTATCGTAATGGTAAAAACAGCAGATTTGGCATGGTTTGTTTTATTTCATGTAAACCTTAAATTTTAGTACTTACGAATGGTTTAGAGATCCTGTTAAATATGACGAGATTTAAAAATTTAAATTTTAGAAACGTCCATTAACTTACTTTTTTACCTTAAAATATTTTTCCTGTCGAATCTTGCGATTTATAAAAAATTTCCATCTCTCGACCAATATATCTAAAATATATGAATTCTGGTAGTTAGTTATTGCCTAACTTGACAAAAAAAAGAATATTTTTATATTTTTATATTTTTCTAAATCATAAAATATGCATAAACTATATACATTCAATAAAAACATATCTTTTTGTTCCCAATGTTTTATTGGTGTTTTTAAAAATAAAATCAGTGGAAAAAATACTTTTTGGAATAGAGTTTGGAAAGCGACTCCGTCAGGCGAGAATTAATGAAAAACGATATAAAATTTAACTAGGTAATTTTTAGCTAGTAAGCAGTAGAAAAAGAGCTCAACTATCTATACCTAGTTCAACTATTTCTCGCTATTCATTAATTCTGCACTCCTTTTTCCCGATATTACTTAGTGCTAAAAAAAGAAAGGTACCTAAAATATGATTTAGTTTTTCTTCTGAGATAATTTTCTGCAAAATTATATTTTTTAGACTAATTTAGATTAGGGTACTGAAGGATTGTAATGTTGAAAATTGAATAAAAATCTGTTGAAAACTGATCTGAAGGAAGGAATTGAGTGGAGGGAGTAAATTGAAGAAAAGGGTTTAATTTGATACGGGTATATGTAGAACCCAGAGAGAGAGAGAGAGTGAGCGCAAAAAGGGGAATATTTAAGAGTCGAGATGTGAAGAGGGGGGAGGGGGGAGTTTTAGGGGCTGAAAACCCATTAATGTCGATTTATGAATGATATAAGATTATTTAAAAATTTCATGTGACATGTTTAAACTTGGAAGACTGGAAATTCTGGATTTTAGGTCAAAGTTTACAGGATCTGCACTCGGCTTGATATAAAACACTTGCCACCACCACATACATACACTTCTCAGCAAACATTAAACAGTTCATTTTTTACTAGTTTTAATTCTACTTAATTCTTGGATTTTCAGGCTTTAAAAAAGTAACTTCTATGAAAGACAAAAGTTTAAATCTTTGCTCTATTTAAAAACAAATAAACACAATACAAATATTTAAAAAAAAATTAATAAAGGACTTAGTTGTTTACAGGATTAAGAATCCTTGAGCTCTGGGACGAAATGACTCCGGGTCCAGCTGAATTTTATTTCTTTAAGTTTTAAGAATTTCTGCAATTATTTTTTTGTTTTGTTAAAGGAACACTCGCTCCAATTGCTCTAATTGCTCTAATTGCATTGCCCTATTTCTTTGCAACCTAATATTCTAAACCACTCCTGTATGCTGAGTCCATTAGCGCCTGACCCAATCAGGGCTCAGTCATGTGTTTGATGTCTATTCTGAACCAATAGAAATAGTATGACGGTAACATCTATCTTTCTATCTATCTCATTATCCAATTAGAGTTATGAATCCTTCAATCGGCACTATCAGTAAATGGAAATATTTACTTCTACTGAAACTATAGTGCTTAGACTTTTTGAACTATAAGTATTAATAATATAAAATATCAAAGGTGAACAACATCAGGTTGCGGAAATATAGGATTACAAATTAGAATTTATGAGTGTTCAGTTCATTTTATACTAAATCTTGATTTGATCAATCAGAGATCATGACCACTTTACCGATCTTTTATTTACCCAACATTGTATTTTCAAATCAAACAGTTTTTTTGCTTGTAGCTGGTTAATATTTCGAATATTGAGGATACAGATCATTATTTCCTGGGGGGTTGAAGGGGGGGGGGGGCAAATTCCTGTCCATCCTGGACTAACCAGGTTGAGATGTGGTCGGTTTCTTAAATTTTGATTTGATCGCGCGGATTTTAGTCTAAAGTTCAACAATTTGTAAACTTATGGAGTTTTAATTTTTACGCTTTTTATTTAAAGCGCATCCACCGAAAAAAAAGTATAAAAGAGAATAAAAAATTCCGTTTAATAGGAGAAAGTAAGATCAAAAGTTGCAGACTGCTTGTTAAAATGAACTGTAATTACGTAATCTGGAGTGATCCTCCGCATGCAAAGATTTTACACCGGAACCCTGGGAAGCTTTGTCCGATAATGTATTAACTATGCATTAATGTTCACAATTTTGAAAAGTAAATATTTTCAATTGTGGTTTCTCATACAAAAGTGACAAGCGCATTTCTCCTGCAGGAGAACATATAGGACTTATCAGAATTAACAATTTTCAAACCTAGAAAAAGAACGATATATTTTACATAACTGATCAGATAAAGGTTTCAAGAATACCGTTGTATAATTAAGTACTCCTAATTCAGCGTGTGCCATGAGCTCTCAAAACTACAAATATGTAGACTTCCGAAATAATTAAATACTTCCCCGAAAACTTAGTTCCCTTCCCCCCAAATACAATAATCTTAAAGGGACAGACCGGCTATGTAAGGTAGTTGAGACATATCAAACTTTTAAAAGATCTGTAAATCCTGAGTTTGAGCGCAAAGTCGACGTTCAAAATCGTAATTTTGAGTGGATACGCTTTCAGAATTGTTTCTTAAATTATTAAATAACGACGACAAAAAATGTAAACAAAATTCTACAGTAAACTAATTAGTTGTTTAGGAACAGGTTAAGAAAATAAAAATTAATCATCATCGAAAATAAGTAATCTTGTTCAATGATTAGTTTCTATAACCTCTCATTATTCACAAAGATTTTCTGGAATTTTTATTAAAAAGACGTCATTTGAAGAATTTGTAGAAATTTGCGAATAAATTCATAGAAAAATAAGAAATTCAATATAATGATGAAAACGAAATAATTGATTCTAGCATTGATTTATTGACAAATTTCTTTTTAGAAATATGTTCCAAACCATTTAATTAGTTTACTGTGTATTTTTTACTTTATTTTTCGTCGTTGTAATTTAATAATTTTTAATAAACCGATTCTGAAGAAGTATCCACCCAAATCCATGATCTTGAACGTAGACTATGCACTCAAACTCAGTAATTATACATCGTGGAAAAGTTTTATATGTCTCAAATGAAACCTAAAGAATGTGTCCACAACACTGCATACTCAGTTTAACTACCTTATATAGCCGGTCTGTCCCTTTTTAGCATCTGGTTTGGACATTCCACGTGAGTTTGCACAAAATTGTTAATTTAATAATGGTTGATTTACGCTGGAGGTTATTTTTTTAAAGCTTTAATCGCCGAAACTTCAAGAAATCTACCAAGTTTAAATCCGGCATACATTATATGTGAGGAAACCCATAACCCGCAAAGTGTTTATTTACGGTGAGATATTCTTTTTTATCTAGCAATTCTAGTTGAGTTATTGTATTTGTATTTGTGAAAACCAGCTGTACCAGATGAAAACGTTGTTTTATAGTTCAAGCTAGACGCTTACAAATAAACGCTGTTGAAATGTTCTTTATGGCCAATTATTACAAGTTACTTTTCCTACCAGCATATTTTATTTTTATTTAAAAATATCTTTTGACATAACATTTCAAAGTCTAAGAAATTACAATCCTTAAAACATCAAATCAATTATAGTTCTTTCTTATTATAAAAGAAGTCAATAACCCCCCCCTGCATTAATTAACTTATTGATAGAATTAAAATGATAAAGAAATTATCTTGTAAATAATTCATTAAATGTTATCAAATCTCTCAACATTTGCAATGTAAACAAAAAATTTGTAAAACTAATTACCATAAAAAACATTTACCCTTTCACACCCAAACTACTAAAATAAGTTAATGGTATTTCCAAATTTTGCCTAACAGTGGTATTGAACTGAATAATGTTATATCATTCAATGTTAAAAAATTTGAGGTTATAAACCAGAATTACTGAAATAAAACGAAGAGGTAAAGCTTACCTGAGTTGTACACAACCAACATCCCCATTAATTAATTAATAGAGTGGTCGGTAGTGTACATCACGATATGTTCAGGTAGCTAACACTGTACACTTTGTATAAGTGTAATCA